GTTTTAGGGTTTGGGGATTTAGGAGCGTGCAAAAGAGCCTCTGCCATATGTGCAAGTGATTTGCGAAAGGGCGCGACAAAAAGCACAGGTCGCAGCTCATAGTGCATGTTCTGGGCTGTCTTCCGGAAGGTTGCGCTCACCTGCCGTCATACAAAGCTAGCATGATTTTACATGTCATGCGATCACCAGCAAAAGTGCTTCTTCTGCTGCGTGAAGCAAGTTAGTCACCTGGGTGTGGAAGTTGAGGGCAGCTTTGATGACCCAGTTCGAGATCTCCTGCACCTGCACCTGCATCCAGGCATGCCAGATCTGCCAACAGCAGCTTTGGTGCAATTAGCCGGCCACCTTGAAGGGCAGTGTGTCGAAGTGACCCCTCATGAAGGTTGAGTAGATCAGGTTCAAGGCGTTCCTGAAGTCGGGTGAAACAACCACGAGACACACGGGCAGACCGCAACAAGCGGTTGTCTTCCAAGAGGAACTCAAAGGAGCTGAACAGAGACAGAACGAAATCGCAACCAGTTGCCATGTTGACGTCTGGTGCAACCTATTGACAGGGCAGCAGAAAGAAATGAATGAAGGGGATATGTAGGTTGCTAGCAGACATGACTATACTTTCTACTTTCTACTATGTGCATTGTTGCTGCTTCTTATCATTCAACAGCAAAGTGAAGAGTTCGCAAGACCTAGGCCCTTATCAGCCCTGAATATGCGAATGCTCCATTTAATGCCCAACTAACTGGTGTCCCAAAATGGGGGAACCCAATACAACACCCAAATCCTGTAATCCTTAGTCTAGGGAGCCCCCAAGAAGGACCCCTGATTTTAGGAAACCCCCACATACCCTACCCCCAACAGGGACCCCTACGTTTAGGAAATGCCCACATACCCTACAGCCCTGCTTAGCATGATCTCAGTGCGCAGCTGCTCGGGGAACTGCACTGAGCTGGTCCTAGCACAGCGCAGGCCGTCACGACTACAACTACAACTATTCGTAACACTACTTGTACGAGTGCTGCTGAAACTACTACTGCTGCTACTACTACTTACTACTACTACTACTACTACTACTACCACTACTACCACTCTACTACCACCACCACCACCACCACCACCACCACCACCACCACCACCACCACCACCACCACCACCACTGCTTCTTCTACCACCACTACTTCTACTCCTTCCCTACTCCTACTGCTACTCCTCCCACTCCTACTGCTGGTAGTACTGCAACGAATGCGACTTCTGCAGCTGGTGTTGGTGCTACGGCTGTGCAGCTATTCCGAGCTTGAGTGGAAGCACATTATGTGGGTGATTCTAGGCTGGGACGTAGGGTATCTCCGTATTTGAAAAGATATATACATGTATATATATATATATGGCTACTGGTCAAAACCACG